AAAAAAAAAAAAAAAAAAAGATGCCAAGAGGGGACACAAGCTGGGCAGAATTGGTGATGAACCCCAGAAATCTCTGGAGCTGCCTGAAATTTTGGGGCACTTTCCATTTGTGCACTGTCTGTACCTTCCAAAGGTACATTTTCAGACCTTCTGGGGATAGGATAAAGCCAAGGAACTCAGTGAAGGTCTGGCCAAGGGCATATTTCACGAAAAGGCCATGTTGGCTCAGTCTTTCCAGCACCATATGGACATGTGACTGATCTTGTACAAGGTCTTCCAAGAATTTTAGGATGTTGTCCAAGTAGGCAATAACAAACTTGTCCAGAAGGTCCCGCAGCACATTATTGATAGTGTTGGAATGTAGCTGGTACACTGGCTAGCCTCTTGAAGATTTCTACGGTAGGTGATTGCACCATCTCTGGAGGGAACTTATTCTACAGTCTGGACACCCTATCTGTGAAGTTTTCCGTAATGTTGAGCCTGAAATGGTTTTCCAGGAGTTTGTGACCATTACCCCTAGTTTTCCCCAAGGGTGCCCTGGTGAACACTTGTTCACCGAGCCCTTGATGTACTCCCCTGACGTAGTGTTAAGCTGCTACCAAGTCCCCTCTCAGCCTTCTCTTTTTCAGGCTGAAGAGTCCCAGGTCCCTCAGCCTTTCCACATATGGGTGGCCCTGCAAGTCTCTGATCATATGGGTGGCCCTTCTCTGGATTCTGTCAAGCTTTACCACATCCTTGTTAAAGTGTAGCACCCAAAATTGGACATGGTACTTTAGCTGTGGTCTCATCAATGCTGAGTAGAGTGGAAGAATCATTTCCTTGGTTTTGCTGGAGATGCATCGATTGATGCATGCAAGGGTATTATTAGCTTGGCTTGATACAGTGTCATACTGCTGGCTCATGTTCCTACTGTTGTCTATTATTATCCCCAGGTCCCTTTCATTCATAGTGTTGCCAAGCCTGTAGGTGTGCAAGGGGATCGTTCGTCCCTGGGTGGACACTTTACATTTCTCGATGCTGAACTTCATCTGGTTCCGATCCGCCCAATTTGCCAGCTTGTCTAGGTCCACCTGAACCTCCACCCTATCTTCAAGTGTGACCACACTTCCCCATAACTTGGTGTCATCCGCAAACTTGGCCAGTGAGCTCTTCACTGATGATGAAGATATTGAATAGTACTGGAACAAGCATTGACCCCTGTGGGACCCCACTGGCCACTTCTTGCCAAGATGACACGAATCCGTTCATTAGGATTCTCTGGGTCCAGCCCACAGCCAGCTTCCTACCCACCTGTCTTGCAGTTAAGCCTGCAATGCTCCAATCTTCTCGTGAGAATATCATGGGATACCAGATCAAATGTTTTTTGAAACTCAAGGTATACAATATCAACCTCTTCTCTCTTATTCAGGTGGTGAGTTACCTGATTGTAAAAGGAGATGAAGTTGGTAAAACAGGATTTACCCACTGAGAATCCTACCTTCTGCAAGCCTATAACACACATGCATATCTCACCCCAGGTAGGACTTGAACCCACAGTCAGCCAGTGCCTTATCCATTAGGCCACTAGGGCTTATACTATAGGTTGGGAAGCTATTTTGTATTTGTCACCATCCGTCATTCTTACCAGGCTGTATGTTCCACTGTAATCACATTTGGTGAATATGCAAGCAGCCTTTAAGCAATCTGGTAGCTCAGGGTTTAGAGCAGGGGTAGGCAAGTATTTTGGGCAGAGGGCCACTTACTGAGTTTTGGCAAGCCATTGAGGGCCACATGACAGGCAGCCCAGGGCAGATAAATATTAATTTTCTAAAATTTTTAGGGGCCCCACGGGCCGAATAGAATGGCCTGGCAGGCTGCATGTGGTTCCCAGGCCGCATTTTGCCCACCCCTGGTTTAGAGGTAAGGACTGTACTGATTTTAGATGGTGATTTGGTCCAGGGCCTGATAGTCTACAATGAGGCAGAGACTCCTGTTCTTTCTGATGAACAAGATAGGGGCCCTGGCAAGAGATATGTATTTTCTTATAAACTCCCAGGCCAGGTTGTCCTGAAGGCAGGGGCAGATCCTGAGGTGGGGTGGGGGCGATGAAGTGATACAGTTGCACCCCTCTTTCATTCCTGCTCCACCCAAATTCTAGCTAAAAACCTTAACTCAGGTGTGGTAATATTAACTCAGGTTAATGAGGAAATGACTGACAGTGAAGTATTGGAGGCACTTGCGAGCCACTCAAGAAGGCTAGCTTTGGTTTAAAAAACAGAGTAAGAAATGTATATTTAACTGCAATGACTACAGGGCTAATGAAATAATATCTTTTGACTATTTTTTGCCTAGTTTGTGGTGTCTTTTAAAACTTTATACAGTATCTAGCAAATTAGTGCACAGTCTAATAGTTTTATTTGTTTTTGCTTTGACCTTAAACTAAATAATATACTACTAACTCTTTAGTATATTAGTAAAGCATCTAATTCCTCTTGAACTGGAGAAAAATGTGTGTTGCATTATATGTGATAATCAGTCACACCATTTGCACCCCTCTTTTCAAAATCCTAGATCTGCCCATGACTGAAGGTACTCTCAAAGGGCAGCTAGTTCCTGCTCAGACATGGTGTAGAGTGGTCTACTGAGATCCTAGGCTGTAAGACAATGGTGCAGTTGTAGACACAATGTGCGGGAGGGAGAGGAGGAACTTCAGCAGTTTTTTAATCAAAAAAAGCTGCATAATGTTGGTATTTCTGGGGTAGGTCAGATCTTGCTGCAAGAGACAGAGCTCCTTGTAGGACAGTATCTGTTGGGATACATAGTTAGCTGTGTTAGTCTGAAGTCAGGCAGAATCCTTAAAGGACTAACTATACTGAGAATATATATAAATCATAAACCAACTCATGAAAGCTTATGCTATATTATAGAAATTTGTTTAGTTTAAGGTTCAAATATACCCTGCTATCTGTTGGGATTCCAGCCTGAAATCATAGGTTGGGTCAACCATCCAGGGTTTCTAACAGTGTTTCCTGCAAAAACTGGATGTAAAATACTTCATAGCTTTTCCACTGGACCAGGGGACCATAACAGGTGAGCCAAAAGGATCTCAGGATCAGGAAGTAATGTGGGATCAGACTGCGCCAAAGCAAAGTTTCCCTGTGTTTGCAGATTTCCACATCAAGGGTGAGGGTTTCCAACTCCAGGGAGCCTGATGAAGAGGGGAGCTATAAATGGTCTCAACTATTCCCAGCCTGAGCTGTTATCATAAAGGGATACATAAGGCTTGGACAATAGTTTCATTAATGAAATTTCTAGTTGCCCCAGAGTCTGGTAGGGTAGGTAATACCAGCAGTACAACAGGCTCAGCCTGGGATCTGCAAGTGAACAGATAACTTTATCTGAAAGGTCTGCAGTTTAGTTTGGCTACAGGTTTCACCTTTATTGCTGACCCCAAGTCAATACCCCTTGCAGGGCTGGGTGAGAGAAGGTGGAGGCATGTTTCCCTTCTTGTAGAGCAATAGTCAAGCACATGTCCTGATGTCCCACAACAGAAGCAAAAATTGTGCTGGCAGTGTCATTCCCACTTGCTCAGGGTAAGGTGGCAGTCCTCCCCCACCTACTGGCACAGGTTCAGGAGCAGAGGACAGGGACAAGGAGAAGACAAAGAGTACCTCTTTTCTTCTTTCCTTTTCTGTAGGGTGCAAGACTGAGAATGCAGATCACTAAATCCACAAAGTCATGAGGTTTGGAGGGCACTTCCACCTAGGCAAGTTCAGCCTTCACCTCTTCTCATGGACCCTATCAGAATTAGAATTCAGCTGCTGTTGCAGTTGGTGTCTGCCACATACAGCTAGAACAGAAAAGCATCGTCAGCAGCTGTACTCTGCTCCTTGTAGAAGTTCCACAATGCAGACTCTGCTGTACAGCCCCAGTGGGACTCACTGTTGTACATAGCTGCAATGGCTTGGAGAAATGCCTCCCAGTTCTGGAGGACTGGGCTGCTATGCTCCAGGAACAGGGAGACCTGGACCAAGGCTTCCCTCAACAGGAGGTCTATCACAAGGTTTACTTTTGCTTGGTCCCTGGAACAAGCTCTGGCCTGTGCCAGAAATGAGAGACAGCATCGATCAAGGGATCCCAAGAAATGCTGCTGGTTCCCATTGTACGTTTCGGGTAATGGTCTCAAGCTCAGGGTTCCAGGTGGGCCCAGAACACGCTCTCTTCTCTCAGCTGCCGTGTTTCCTCCAACCAGGAACGCTCCTGAAAACAGGCAACCGGGTATTGAAGGGTCTGGTTTGCAGTAGTCAACTGCAGCAAGTGAAGCTCCAAGGCTTGTCAGGTACAGGCAAGCTGAATCAGCCACTCCTGCATGGCCTTTAGGTCTCCTTGAGAATTGGCATCTAAAGCAGGGGGGTCTGGGAGCACCACCAGGGGAGAGGCATCCATTAACAGGCCCTCTTCGCCAAAGGGTAGTCCAGGCAGACTGGCAGCATCAGGTCATGGGTGACTAGACCTGGAGACCGATCAGAGATCAAGGTTACCAGAAGTGGCCACATAGGAAAGTGGGAGAGGGCAAGCAGAGCGCAGGGGCAAGCCACGAAATTAAGAGGAGAGAAAAGTCCATGAGTGAGCTGAGTCATGGAAACCAGACCATTACAGTGAGGTCTGCAAGCAAGGGGAGCCAGAAAAACAGACAGCCAAGAACCGAGGGTGCAGGCTGAGATCAGGAGAAGCGCCATTAGCCAGACATTCCCCACCCCTCTCCCTTCAGGTGTCAACATCGGGACTCTACCACTGATGGGGCTTTTGGAGGGCCTCATCCGCGTTTAGGGCCAGCAGCAGTGGGGCAGAGGGCCATGCTGGCCGACGGGGATCTAGGTCTTTAGGTGAGGTGCAAACACAACAGCGGGGTCTTAATAGCACCCAGCGGCTGCCCCCGTCTCCGCCCACGGGCACAGGCACAACACACCGCGTCCGCTGCGTGCCTGCCCTGAGCAAGCCTGAAAGGGCCCCTGCGGGCTGCGACACCTCCGGGCTGCGCGAGATGCAGCGTGGCCGCCATAAGCCTGGCCGGCGCGCGCTGGTGCCGCCCTCCAGGCCAGCTCGGTGCCCGGCTCGTGCGAGTTGAGGTCACCGGGCCCTCCCAGGGGGAAAAGGCCGATACGCGCGCGCGGTAAGGGCCGCAGGGGAAGTGGAGACGTACCAGGTGCCGCCCCTCCCCCACCCCGCTGGGCCGCCAGCCGCGGCGCCGCTTCCGGTACCGCGCTGACGCACTTCCTCGCGCTACCTGCCCCTGCCCCCGCCCCCTCCCGGGCGCGCCCCCGCCGGGCAGCG